CAGAAATGTTCATTTCGAAGCTGGGCTTTGCAGGTAGAATAGGACTTTGCCAGTGAGACAGGGTGGGGAAGGGCAGTCCAGATGGCAGGAACAGCAGGTGCGAAGGTTTGACCACCTGGGTGTGTCAGGTGACAACTGACTGATAGACCATAGAGTGAGACAGAGGCAAAACGCCTCCGTAGTTTCTTTTTTAGCACTGTTTGTCATTCCTTCTAGAGAGAGTCTTTTAGGTTTCAGATGCTACAATTAATGTTTCTTTTTCTGAAAATGGTAGGCTTGGAAAGTTCTCCCTTTTCCTTGTCTTTTTCTCTGTTTTGATTCTCCCTAACACAGGTGCATGGGCATAGCTGCACCTTCCTCCCATGGTCGCTCTTGGCCCTTGGACAGGAATTTTTTTCCTAAGTCCCAGCCAGTCGTTTCAGACCCATTCAGGAAGACTGAGTTATGTCAGGCAAGTCTGTGGTGCTGAGAGTCTTCTGTTTCTTAAGGGTACTCTACTAGTTAATGGTAAGGGACACTGCCGGAAGAATGGCTTGTAGCAGTTTGGCTTGGAAGACATCTTGTAAAAAGCGTTGCTTCCAGGTGTCCCGTCATTTTAGAAACATCCCCTGATACATAATAGTGTGACTTAGGACTTTGCTTCTAATAGTGTGATGATTATTGCTTGTTTCATTCGAAGGATCTAAAGGCTTCTGTCCCTGCCTGTTCTCTTCTCCTGTGAGGCTGATCCAAGGCACAGTGGCTCTGTTGTTAGTCTTGTAAGGATCAAAGGTTTTTTCCTAACTTTAAGCTGTTATGTAAGAATTGTTGCTAATTGTCCAGCTGAGCAACTTTCTTATGTAGTATAGAAATTTTCAGCAGAGTAGTTCATTCTCTTATTAATGAATGAATAATGAATAAATTATTTAAATCCAAATTAATATAATTCACACCATTTAATAAACATGTACTATGTGTCAAACACTGGGCAGGGGCATCATATGTATCTTTTTATTATATATATTCAAAGAGATGGGATCTTCCTATATTGGCCAGGTTGGTCTTGAACTCCTGGTCTCAAGTGATCCTCCTACCTTGGCCTTCCAACATGCTGGAGTTACAGCCATGAGCCACCCCGCCTGGCCCTATTATATGCATCATGTAATCATGACAACCCTGTGAGGTAGTGGTGGTGGGTACCGAGGCTCAAGTTGCATAGCCAGGAAGTGGCAGAGCTGATACTTGGACCCAGTTCTGATAACAACAGTGACTGTGATCCTGCTTTCCTGCTGTTTAGACAGCGTGTTCGTTTTCAAAGATTAGCTACCCTGCGATAGAGGTTAAGTTCTTAAGTTCACTGTTTCTGTATCCTGATACATTTTGTGACTGTCTTCTGGTGGAATACTTTTCTAAAGCCTGAAAGAGACTTGAAATTGGACTTGGAATGACTTTGAGGTCTTGTAGCTTCTCCTGATTTATTACAGTGCAACTTAACTGAATGAATTATTTACCTCAGCTAATAATATGCTTTGATCTAATAGCTTGGTAGAAAGAACATATTGAACATTTTTATTTAATCCACTTTGGGGACGTATTCGAATGGATTAAAAAATAAAAGTACAAAGAACCCTTTTTATCAATTAATTTTGAGCCATTCTGTTCTTTTGGAAAGCTACAGATATCTTCCTCAGTGGTTCTTAAAATCCTTATCAGGCTGGCAAACTTGCATTTATTCAGTGCTTATACGGTGCCAAGTATATTCCTAAGCACCTTGTTTATCTCATGTAATCCTTATAACCAGTCTGTGCGGGTGGTATTACTCTTATCCCCCTTATACAGAGGAGGAAACCGAGGTGTGATAAGCTTACTGATGGTCAAGGTCATGTAGGTGCTCAGATTCCAGACCCAAAGCTCCCAGCCACTCTCTGTGGAAGAGAACTCTAAATACAAACACCAGGAGATGATGGTCCGTCCCCACTGTTGGTCAGAATGTGAGAATCAAAATCCTGGCTCTGGGCGCGTGACTGGACCCTGTTACCTGACCTCTGTGAGCCTCAAATGTCTGCATCTATGGCCTGGAAGTCATCATGTCCAGTGTGCAGTATGGGAAATTGTATACATGGCCTGTCCCCACTCATCTCTCAGGTGGGGTGCCTGCTGCGGAGGGGGACCCTCTTGTCTCATTTACCTGTTTTGGGGACAGACAGTGTCACTTTCAGTGGAACAGCACTGAGCCCTGTTATGCATGGGGTCCCTGGAAGTCTTGTCTCATGCCCCCCTCCTCCTATGGGCTGAAAATGTCCTGGCATGCTTACTCAGGGAGAATGAGTCTTCTTGATTTCTAAAGACTCTCCCTGTCTACTCCCAGGCCTGGGAAGTCCGCAGTCACCCGCCTCCCTCTGCTGTCTGTATGCAGGGATCTGGGCAGCTATGGCTCGTGTAACCAACATCATGGCTCTCTGCCTTTTGCCTGTGCTCAGTGCGGAGCACAGTTCCTCTCTGGGTAGGTTCATGTCCTTTTAGTCACAGCCTAGGCCTGCCTGTGTCCCCAGGCCAGCTCCCTGCTTACTTCCTGGCTTGCTATTGCTTGGCTGAGGGCTAGAGCTGCCTTGGACCTCTTGGGCCTTTGTGTCCAGGCCTAATGCAGCTGGACAGAGCCCCAGGGAAAAGATGACTGTCCCTTCCTGTATTAGTCTGTTTTCACGCTGCTGATAAAGACATACCCAAGACTGGGTAATTTATTTAAAGAAAAAAAAATTAATGGACTCACAGTTTCATGTGGCTGGGGAGGCCGTACAATCATGACAGAAGGCGAAAGGCACGTTTTACATGGCATCAGGCAAAGAGAGAATGAGAACCAAGTGAAAGGGGTTCCCCCCTATAAAACCATCAATTCTTATGAGACTTACTACCAAGAGAACAGTATGGGGTAAACCGCCCCAAGGATTCAGTTATCTCCCACCAGGTTCCTCCCACAACACGTGGGAATTATGGAAGCTACAAGTCAAGATGAGATTTGGGTGGGGACACAGCCAAACCATATCACATCCCATGTCCTTGCTTTTTCACTTCTCCTTGTCTCAGGGTTGACTTTCCTAGTATGACTGGCATTGGGGTCACCAGTTTCCTTTAAGGATAGGCACACCCCACCATAGGGCAGTGAAGCCAGCCTCTTGCTTCAGGAGAAGTTTCCAGAATCCCTGAACATTCCTTCTCTTCGTACCAACCCAAGAACTTTTGCTTGCCAAGTCGCCCACTGATTTCTTAGTTTTGTTTTTCAGAAAACAACTCTCACAACTTCCTTTGTGGCTAATTTTTTTCCCAACAGCATCCTGCTTTTTCTGCAGCTTCCGTTGACGAAGGTGCATTTTACCTCTGGAACCCTGTCTCCTTGGGCTTCCTTGTAGTGACTCACAGATTACATTTTCAGTACAGAAAACTCAGCTTTGCCAGGGCAAACGCTCAGCAACTCTTTTACAGCGACAAGTACTTTAGAAAAGTTTCAATTCACTGACTTCTCTGGGCTACATAGGCGACTTGCTGCCCTGCTTTGAGCTAAGGCTATTTCTTTAGCAAAGGATATTGAAATTGGATTCTGTTTCTTTTTTTTCCCCCACTGCCTTCAAGTGGATTTTTAAATAAATCCATTTTTAAGGTAGAGAAGGGAGATGAGTCTTATAAAAACTTGCTAACTGTATTTTGACAAAGACCAACTTCGGTGCACCAGTGCTTTCATCTCCAGGAGCTCGAGATTAACGTTTCCAAAAATGAATCTTTTAAACTCAGTTCTTCTCCTCAAAATGAAATATATTATCTGGTAACTACCCAATTCCTACTTTGTAATATGTAGAAATCATTTTCCCTTTGTGAGGAAAACTAGATATTTAAATGCTAAAACACTATCTTTTTGTCTTCTTGAAAAAATTTTCTTCCTTTGGTGGTAAAACGCTTTTAAAATTCATGGAAAATTCTCCCTTTCCTGTGCTCTGGCTCAGGAGGAGAGTGAGATACCAGTTTCTCTGTAAATATTGTAACAACAGCCTTCCTTGTGTTCAGAGGTTTGAACTGCTTTGATGGAGTATATTTTAAAGCACAGTGGCAGTCAATTTTGATGAAAAGTGATAAAGTTGAATGGATAAAATTGGCTTTCAGCAATTAGAATGCTCTGGACCTATAACTTTGTGCCCATGGCCCTTATTCATGTGGGGGGAAGAAAGAAATTTCTGGCAATTTTTTGACACATCAGAATTATAACAATTTTTTTTTTGTATAGCATTTCATATTTCTTGATCATTCCTGGGACAGCAGACTTTTTTCTGTAAAGAGATGAACAGTAAAATTTTTCCGTGTTGTGGGCCATGTGGTCCCCTGCCATTGGAGCACTGAAACAGCCCAAGACAATTTGTAAACATTGTTGTGTGCCAGTAAAACTTTATTTACCAAAACAGACGGGGTCAGCAGGTCACAGTGTGCCAGTCCCTAATGCAGATACTTCTCCTACTTAACGATGGTGGTCATGCCGACAGAGATGGTTATGCCATTAGAATCGGCTTCTATCTTGAGTGCCTGTCATGGGCCAGGCAGTAGATATATTTACTGTTCATAAACACTTGAATGAAAGGTAAACATGGTTATCGCCACTTAACAAAGGACTAAAGTGAGGCTCAGCTAGGTCGGGTGACTTGCTCTGTGCCAGGGTTCTCAGCCCAACACTATTGACATTTTGGGCCACAGAATCCTTTGTAATGGGGCTGTCCTGTGTGCAGTAGGATGTTTCTTGGCATGCCTGGCTGCTGCCCGCTAGAGGCTGGTGGCACCCCCTTCCCCACAACTTTGATAACCACAAACGTCTCCAGATGTGACCAAATGTCTCTGGCATCAGAATCCCTGCTGGTTGAGAACCACGCCTCCAGAATATGCCACTTTTTTTCCCCTGTGCAGAGGGAAGACAGGGTTAGGGATCAGAGGCTGGAGACAGGGGCAGAGCACACCAGCAGCCACACTGGGGTGGGGGCCATGACACCTGTTGGGGCCCGGGTTTCACTGCTGCATAGGCGGCAGTGTGTGGTGAGCTCGGGCCCTGGGGGTTCTGGGCGTCAAATCTCACTTGCATCCACAGCCAAAGCAAGGGGGTGATTTTCAACCAATGCCAGTAGGATGTACCATGTCTAAATGTCAAAATCTGGGCTGACAAAACAAAATATTGGTTTGTTTTGTTCTACACAGAAATGACTGCCCCCAAGCCAATGCTCTTTGCCTTCATGTGTGTATTCACTGCTGTTCACCTCCGTGTCCCTGGCTTCCTTCCCTTCTCCTGGCCTCTCCTACTGGAAATTTGCTAAGAGAGATTTGAAGTGTCCTCAGCACCCCTGTAGGGTTATAAAGACCACAAAGTTAAAAAATGGTAACTGTGGGTGGTGACGGATTGTTCATTTGATTGCAGTCGTCATTATGCAGTGTACACATACTTCAAGTCATCTCTTTGTATACCTCAACTGTATTCATTTTTTATTTGTCAATTGTGCCTCAGTAAAGCTGGGAGAACATGTGAGCTGTGGAGTGTCATTGACTGGCTTCCCAGTGTGGCTCTACCTGTGTCTCACTTAACATCTGTGGGAAACCTTCCCAACTTTGCTGAACTTCACTTCTCCCCTCCAGAAAGCGGAATAATAATAGCATTTATGCGCTGGGTGTGGTGCCTCACACTTGTAGTCCCAGCACTTTGGGAGGCCCAGGTGGGCAGATCGCTTATGGCTGGGAGTGCGAGACCAGCCTGGCCAACACGGAAGAAGCCTGACTCTACTAAAAATACAAAATAAAGCATCTGTGATCCCAGCTATTTGGGAGGCTAATGCAGGAGAATTGCTTGCACCCAGGAATTGGAGATTACAGTGAGCCGTGATTGTGCCACTGCGCTCCATCTTGGGTGACAGAATGAGACTCTGCTTCATAAAGAAAAAAACATGAGCATTCCTCTTATGGCATAGTTGATGTGGAATGATCAAATCAAAGTGTATGCTCAGTGAATAACTGGTGTGATGATGATGAAAGTGACGGTAATAATAACACAGGTAATTTCCCTGGACTCCTCGTCCGCTGGATAGCTTTCTGCAGGGCTGATATTCATCACCTTTGTCAAGGTTTCATACTTCACAGAATCTTGAACAGGCCTGCACAGATTATGCCTTTTCTTGCCATGAACAAGTCTATGATCATGAGAAAGTTACTAACCTCTCTGAGCCTCAGTTTTCTTATCTGTAAAATGGGAATGGTAATAGTTCCTATCTCCTAGTCTTACTGTGAAGAATAACTTAGTATGTGTCTAACATTTAGAAGAATTTCTGGCCCTTAGTAAGGGAATATATATGCATGTTGTGTGTTTCTAGATTTTCCTGCCAATAAAAGACAGAAAATATTCTCCTACTTTGTTTTCTAGAATAGACCAGGCATCCTCTCCTGCCTCCCATGGCTGGGAGGACCCTTGCTGTCTTTCACCACCCAAGGATGGTTGGGTGTGGGTGTCCCCAAGGGCCCAGGGGTGATGATGTGGGTATAATGACAGTAGACACAGTTGCTTTCACATGGGGTGTGAGTCCCATGTGCCTGGTGGTATTTCCAGTTGTTACCTACATTAACTTCATCATAATGCAGTGAGGAAGCCAGGGAAACCAAGGCTTTATTTTATTTATCCTTTTTCATGATAATGAGTTGGTTCCTTTCTCTCTTCCAGAGAGGACCAATAAGTCATTAAAAAAAAAAAAAAAAATGAGGCCGGGTGTGGTGGCTCATGCCTGTAATCCCAGCACTGTGGGAGGCCGAGGTGGGTGGATCGCTTGAGATCAGGAGTTCTAGACCAGCCTGGCCAACATGTTGAAACCCCATCTCTACTAAAAATGCAAAAATGAGCTGAGTGTCGTGGCAGGTGTCTGTAACTCCAGCTGCTCGGGAGGCTGAGGCAGGAGAATTGCTGGAACCCAGGAGAAGGAGGTTGTAGTGAACTGAGATCATGGTACTGCACTCCAGTCTGGGTGACTTGAGTGAGACTTCGTCTCAAAAATAAAAAATAAAATAAAAATGGTATTGCAGATTTATGTATTTAAACCTATTTGATGTTTTCCAGTTCATCACAGTATTTTTTCTTTGTGATATTCAAGTTGTCCTATTTCGGCCCATGGTCGGTGTTTAGTTTGATTACTGAGTCCTCAAGAGTTAGTTTTTGCCAGCACGCTGGACATCAAAGCTAAGAAACTAAGGTATTCTAGGCCCTTCTTGTACTTCATGCCCTAGACCTAGAAGCACCTTTTTCTCCAGGTGGTCCTGGTTCCTTGACTTGAAAGAGGCATTTATACAGCATAATCTAGGTGGTGCGGGTGCTCATTGCTGCTGGGTTGGTTATTGTCTAGGCCTTTTCAGTTCAGTGTTCACAGCTAGAAAATCTTTCTCTTTCTTCTTGCCCACTGGCCTCTTCCCTCCCGTCCCCCACCCCATCCTTTGTTTTTTAGTTGAGTATATATTATGATCCATACAGGTATTTCTAATTTAAATTTTGAATTATGGTTTTTTTTTTAACTTCATTTAATATTTATGTCTTTTTTTCTTATGCTAGAAATCTCTTAATGGCATGAATAAAATTTCTTTTTTCCTTTTTTTTTTTGAGATGGAGTTTTGCTCTGTCACCCAGGCTGGAGTGCAGTGGCGTGATCTTGGCTCACTGCAACCTCCGCCTCCCTGGTTCAAGAGATTTTCCTGCCTCAGCCTCCTGAGTAGATGGGACCACAGGTGAACACCACCACACCTGGCTGATTTTTTTGTATTTTTAGTGGAGACAGGTTTTCACCATGTTGGGCAGGCTGGTCTTGAACTCCTGACCTCAGGTGATCTGCCCGCGTCCACTGCCCAAAGTGCTGGAATTACAGGTGTGAGCCTCTGCACCTGGCTGGCATAAATATAATTTCTTATGAGGTTTTGCTAATCTGAGAGGTGAGTAATGTAATCTCCATGTAGTTTTAATTTGCTTCTCTGATATGAGTGAAAAGAACCGTTTCTTGCCTCCCTTCTTCCACCACTTTCTCCCACCGAGGCAGAGTTGATCATGTTTCCCTTCATGTCCCCGTACTGCTTTGGAGACAGCACCCCGATAGCATCGATCCTCAGTGATCAGCTTGGTGATTTCTGCACCTCGCATCACTGTAGAGTGAGATCTGTGTATTTTACTCTTCTTATCTTCCGTTGTTTGGCATTGTGTTCTGCCTTACTGTTTATGAACGACTTAATAGTTTTGACACTTTTTCCTTAGATCTGTTAACCTCAATCCCTTTTTAATTCCTGTATAACTGCCGTTCCCCAGCAGAACAGCTAAAAAAAGAATGATGAGAGAGAATAGCAACACAGGAAAAACAAGCTGTTGAGAAAAACCAGATGTGTACTTGTAACCCTGACTGCTCTTTGAGTTCCAGACACACGTTGCTCCATGCTATGGACCTCGCCATAGTTTGTCTGAAGCAGGGTTTCTCAAATTCGGCCTTAATGACATTTTGGATGGTGTAGTTCTTTGCTGTAGGAGGCTCTCCCACACATTGCAGGGTGTTTAGTGACATATCCCCACCAGCCTTACCTACTCGATGCCAGTGACATCTCCCTATCCCAGTTGTGATAACCAAAAATGTCTCTTGACATTCCCTACCCTACTGTTAGAAGTAAAAATGCCCTCCTTTGAGGGCCACTGGTTTAAAGGCATCTCACAGTGAATGAGGCCAGCGTAGAACACAGTGCTTCCTCCTGATTTACCTGTCCTGTGGTTTTCTCCATCTTTCTAAATGATACCACTTTCAATTCAGTTAGTCAAGTTAAATAGCCTGAGTCCTCCTTGATTTCTCCTTCCCTAACTGTGTACATCAAGTCACTCGTTGAGTTATATAGTCCCTTCTGAAATATCTCATAAAGCCAGCCATTGTTTTCTACCTGTATTGCTACCACGAGTCTAATCTGCCGTTTACTCTTGCTGGCAGTACTACCAGTAGACTCCTTCCTTCCAGGGCTCTGCAAGCTGATTTCAAATTCATCCACACTCGGGTGTGTGCCCATGTCTCCCGACTCATCTGTCACCATATTCCTTGTTCTACTCTGGAGCCCCCTCCCCCTCCCCCTAGGAAGGGCCAGGGTCATTCCACCCTCCAGGCCCACGTGTTTCCCATATTCCCTCTTCCCCCAGATCTCTGCATGGCTGGCTTCGTGTCCTCCAGGTCTCTGTTCAGTGTCACTACTTCAGTGAGGCCTTCTCTGATAGTCCAATCTGTTCTGATGGTGCCTTGAGTCAGGTTAATCCACCATATTGCCCAGTTTTATTTTCTTGGTTGAAATAGCAGGATCTTTAGTCTCCTAGTTTACATGCTTCTTGGCTCTTGATGGCCTGTCTCCCCTCTAGAATGTAACTTGCAGGAAGGCGGGGATCATGTTGACCGTTCTTCTCTTTGAATCCTGGCTTGGAGGATGGACTTTGCATAAGATAGGCACTAAGAGACTGTGGCAGGGACATTCCGGTGTTTCTCTGGGAGGACCCTAGTCACAGTTTACCCTCCCCTATGGACAGAGGAAGAAAGATTTTAATCGTTCTCAGAGTCGAAGCTCTTTTACAGGTATCATCCTGAATACACTTGACAGTCATACCGTCGCTTTCCTCCTTATCTAACACTGCAGCTGCTGGTCGTCATCGCTTGAACCATGTTTAAAGAATATTGATCCTGAAGGTAAATTTCAATTATATACAAAAGAAAGATAATGTACTTAGAATCTGGTTCTGTCTTGATTCACAGTGCAGGAGAAGAACCAGTGCTGACAGTCCTTTCTTTATCGAATTCTAGGATATGCATATTACCCAGTGATCTAAGACAGAGATGGGAAAACCTCTTTTGTCAAGGGCGGGAGAGTGGACGTGTTAGGCTTTGTGAGTGGGATGTACGTCGTAACTATTCAACTCTGCCAAAGTGGCATGGAAACAGCTGAGTATAAGCAAATGGCCGTGGCCACGTTCTGTCAAATTTGATGAAACTGATTTCCAAAAATGAAAATCCGTTTCTGCAGTTATAACAGGCACTTTTATGTTTTTTGCATGATGCTGTAATTTTCTCTTTATTGTTAGTGATTGAGTT